TCTGTTTACTCCCCTGTTAAGTAGGAATAATACCCACGTCACAGAGCTATTGTGAAGAGATGGCAGATATAAAGTCCTGGGCATAGGGCCTGCCATATAGTGTAAGTGTTCACTTTACACACCAATACCAGCACTATAATCTGTGTTAAATCATGTTCAAGAGCGAGCCACTGATGATCCACACCAGTATCAACATCCATTATCACAGTGTGAGGTGGGTCCTCACTCTGCTGCTGAAGAAACAAGTCATATAGTCAGGTTACTGAGAAGTGGGTTTGAATCCTGGCCCCCCCGACCGCTATGCTCTTCCCATCCTGCTGAGGCCCTGGGTTTGCCTGAGGCCCAGGGTTAGGAATCAGGCTCCCACTCAGGGAACGATGGTCGGGTTGCTGGGTTGCCAAAAGCCCGTCTTCCTAGCCAGGTGGTGAGAGCCCTAGTCCAACCTGGTCACTGGGGGCTGAGGGGGGCTGAGGGCACCTTTGGGCTTAAAAGCTCTCCTTTGCAGGGACCAAGGGCTGAAAGCATTTAGAGATACCCTTCCCTCCCCCATGCCCTACACACACAGCCCCCGAGAGGAATCCCCTCAACTCAAGTTCCCAGGAGTGCATAGCAACTACACTCGGTCCCAGGGCCCACCTGTTTTGTTTCCCTGTAAAAAGCAGAGCTAAGCTCTGTGGAATGGGAGCAAGGAGGGAGCAATAGGTGTAATCACTTAATCACTTAACTTCCCGTTAGTTGTCGATTTGCTCAAGCGGGCGCCAGTAACGTCTCCATTTGTCCCTGTCGCGTGCTAGTGTAGCCCAATGGCATCTGTTCGCTCCGGGAACATGAAGGGCCTCAAACCGATCGTTCATGATCTTGACGAAGATCTGACCATCTGGTAGGTGGGCGGTCACGCGGTCTTTTGACATCCCGTGGAATCCAGTCAGTAACAGCTCTAGTCCAGCGGTCGTCTTTAAATCTCATTACATGACCAGCCCATCTGATTTTCGACACCTTGGCAAATGAGACAGCGTCCCTGATCCTTGATCGTCGACGGATGTCAGAACTCCGGATTCTTTCTCTCATTTGAGTGAAACGTGATATTCCAAGCATAGCTCTTTCTATTCTTCTTTGGGAGACCTGAATAGCGTTCTCATCTTGTTTGCGTAGGGCCCAGGTCTCTGAGGCATATGTTAATGCAGGAAGAATAGTGGAATCAAAGAGATGTGCCCGGAGCCGGAGGTTCTTCGTCCTCCGGCGTAAAATGAAAGTTATAGGCGTAAAATGAAAGTTATTTCCCACTGCTGCCCCCTAGAGACCAGTAGGTGCCCCACACACGCACAGAGAAATACACTGGCCCAGCGTGTGACTGGATTTTAATATCCAAGGGCCAGGCATGCACACCTTATCCCTTCAGTGAAAGGGTCCTCACCTCCCAGTGCCCACTCCCCAATAGAGCAGCTCTCACTGCGATAATGAAACCAAAGTGACCAGCCACGTGGAGGGTGTTCTCAGCACCCAACAAGTAGTAACTCACCCCTTAGCCCCTTTACTGCTCATAACACCTGGTCTGGACAGCACTGTCACCAACCTATTTCACTGATTAGTAAACTGAGGCTTAGACTATTGAGTCATTACACATCTTTCTAGCCAGGGGTCAGTCTGCAATCCAAACCCAGAAACAGCTGGCTCCGCGGCCGCTTGCGATTCCTGCGCTGTGCTCTTGTAGGGACTGGCGCCAGCAATTGACACAGATGAGACCTTGGGGCCCTTGAGGAGGGAGAAATGAAGAGACAGATGATGAGCTGAGGCCCATTACATGCTTGAGAATTCACTGAGGCCCTCTCTTCAGCTCTTCTCGTCGTAATGATTTCCACTTCCCCACAGCCCTGCAGACCTCAAGCACATGTCCTCCACCCAGTGGGCACGGAATAAGCTTTCGCTTTTGGGGAGAGCCCCGTTTTTCCTCCCCTGCCCATATGGCCTGGGGAAGCCCCATGCCACTGGGGGCTTCACATCCCATCTGTACACAAAGTGGATGGTGCGTGATGGGGAGCCAGAGCGAGAGTACAGCAGGTAGGACATTTGCCTTGCACATGGTGGACCTGGGTTCAATTCCCAGCATTCCATATGGTCCCCTGAGCACCATCTGGAGTAATTCCTGAGCGCAGAGCCAGGTGTGACCCCTGAGCATTTGGGGAGAGGGGCCCAAAGCCAAACAAAACTTTTCTTAATTTTAATTTAAATAAAGTAGATGGGCATAAGGGATGCGGGGGCTCTTGCGACACTAACCTAGGATCTTGCTCTCTTGCTGTGGAACACCATCGTGCTGCAGACACGCCTGTGCCACTGCTAGCCCAGGGCTCCCTTTCTGAGTGGGTTCCCACAGAAGGTGGCCCAGCTGTCCTCCTGGTGAGCTCACTCCGTCCCAGCTGTGACACTAGGCACCAAGGCCACACAGTGAGTCACAAAGGCCGGCTGTCTCCGCCTTCCCCAACTCCTTGGGGGAAGTGTTCTCGCCTTCCAGCCCTCCCTGCCTCCCTCACCTGACTTGGCAGTGAGCCTCACCCAGGCCCTGAGGTTCCAGGACACCATGACCCACACCCCCGTAGCAAAGAACGTGAGACAGACCATGGCAGTTAATCTCACGCCGGGACTGAGCAGGTGCAGTCAAAATTACTGCATGACAAGGGGGATCAGACCCCCTCTATCCTGGCTGGGGGTGCAGGCTCCCACCTGACGACCCAGCACTGATATTCTGAGCTCTGAAACACCTGAGCCAGGCAGGGCATCGCGCTGACATGTGTGCAAAGGGAGCTGCAGAGAGGCAGGACTGTCCCAGCACACTTGGTCTTGGAATGTCTTGCCAGCGGTGTGAGCCTAGAAGGTCACAAGAGACACTCTGGGCCTTGGTGTCATTGCCTCTGATACAGATCAGTGAAGTCTTCTGACTAGAGTCACTGGGCAGCAGCTTAGCTGTCCTTGTCCTGCACCATTTCCTCTGCTTCCCACCCTCTGCAGGTGGCATGCCTGCTCCTAGAGGAAGCTTTTCTCCTCCAAGGCCACCAATGCGTCTGCAACCTCAGCAATGCCTCTTGGGACAAGACAGGGTTGAAGCCCTGACCAGATGGTGGGGCATATCCAGAGAACTAGCTGCCTGAGAAGTGGCAGGAATGAATGGCTCCAACCCATCTGTCAAGACAGCCCTGCCTAGAGTACCAAGCCCAGTCTGGGCCCAGCTGCAATGGAGACAAACACTGGCTGGACAGAGGTGGCTAGTTCTGGGTTGCTGGCCAGCAGAGCAGGGCCTGGGCAGCTCAGCTGGGGCTAGCCTTCATGCTGGTTCATAAACACACTCTGGAGTCAGACTAAGCGCCAACTCTCCTGGCCCAGCTGCTACCGGACGGGAGACTTTGGTTGATTCACCTAGACTCCATGACCCTCAGCTGCTCCGTCTTGAAAATGGGACTCATCCACATTGTGACTATTTTGAGGCTGTTAGCAGCGAGACTGGATGTCAAGGGTGGGATGGGGCCTGCAGGGGGTCATCACCGCTAGAGAAGGGGTTGCTTCCCAGTAAACAAACACATTACAGATGCTCCTGCCAAGCCCACACCAAGGGCACAAAATCAGCCAGACCCTCATGGAGTCTGGGAGAGAGATGATTGGGATGGAAGCTCCTCATGGGAGAGAAGACCCTACTCAGTGAAGCTGAAGGTCACATCAAGTCTGAAAGGCGACTTTGTTCTCCCCGCCTCATACGTTATGCATGAAAGAGCAGACGGCGGTGCTCAGGATTCATAATTTGAGACATCCGGAGACTAAAGACATTGGCCAAATTTAAACCAAAAGATGAACTTGTTGGGTGTCTTTTCACATTACGGGAGAAGAAAAAAGAAGAGAATTCCTTAGTCATCCACCATCCACTCGGAATTCACAGCGAGTCTGTCCAACGGCTGACATCAGAGGACTCCGCCTCTGGGTTCCGGACATTTAAGACATCGCTGTTTGAAGAGCACAGAGAGATAAATTCTGAAGAGACCCACTGGGGCCAAGAGCAGCCTCAGTGCGGGGGTGGCTGTGGGGCTCTCCAGAGGCGGTTAAGAGAGCCGCCATAGATGCAGTGGGGCCCAGAGCTGTCGGGGTATGGCTCTGTGTGACCCTGGTGCCCACAGCCCTCAGCACGCCTATTAGGAGGATGGCAAGAGTTAGACACAGCCCTGCCACAGGGGGAAAGCTCAGTCCATAGGAGCTGCCATTACCGACGTAACCTCTGAGTCAACTATGCCATTATGAGTTGATCCTGAGTCACCAATTCCAGAATGTCAGGAAGTGAGAGTTTTTGGATCCTTTTCCTCATGGGAATCTGAATATTACAGACAATAAGTGGCCCCAAAGCAACACAGCCTCCAAGTGGCAGAGTCAGAGCTAGGCTTTGGGGTTCCCAAATCATTACGACTCGATTGCACTTTCTCACTCCAGGTCCAATTACACCCAAACCATCATCACCTCCAGGTCCTGTGGACCCGGCCGCTAGGCCCCCAGGACTGTGGCCCAGGCCCGAGGAGTGTCTGGCATAAACTGTCTAATGAGTGAATGGTATTTTCCGTGTGTGAATCTGAGGGAGACAATGAAACCACAAGAAAAACAACATGTATAGGCACGCACTCACACCCATAGTTCAGGGGCTTCCTCGAACAGCCCCAGGCAAGAAACCCTGAGCCCGGCTCTCTGAGGCCTCTTTGAAGCAGATGCTCTGGATGGCTGGTGTGGTTACAGAGAGAAGCTCCCCACCACCACCACTACACACACACACACACACACACACACACACACACACACACACACACAGAGATATATACACGGCTTCCGCAGGAGGCTGTACACCACATACCCCACCTCCCGGCCCGCGGTCAAGGCTGCTTGAGCACCAAAGGTGGGGGGCTGCTGGGTGTCTGTCTGCTCACACGAAACCCGCAGGCCACTGCAGCCAAGAGCCCTGTGTTTCAAAAAGAGCATTTATTATTTTCCTCTTTAGAAATTTCTTTACAGTAATGCACAATATAGGACAAGACGCACCTGCAGACACAATGTCGCTCCTTGCTCACAGGGGAGCACCCTGCCCAGACAGGGCAAAGGCCGCACGCAGTACAACTCACACACAGCACGGTCTTTCTCGGGCTCCTGGAGCCTTGTCTGCCCAACCCTTGCTGCCTCGTGACAAATACAGAGACCAATGCTGAGGAGGTTTGGGGTGGAGCATGGGGGTACAGGAGCTAGACAGGGAAATGAGCTAATCCCATATTTGGACAGAGACCCTGGAAATCCTCCCCTTCCCCAGGCACTTGTGTCTCTATTACTACACGGGGGTAGGATGGCTGGCTACATCCAAGGGTGCTCAGGAGTGACCTCTGGTGGTGCCCAGGGTTGGAACTGGGGTCCAGCTGTGCCAGGCCACACCTCCCTCTGTGCTGTCTCTGGTCTGTGATGAACATGTTTTGATTCAAGTGCTTAGATTAAGTAGAGTCTAGGAAAGGGGGGTTTCTCCGGGGCTGGGAAAGCCTGCACCAGCTGTCACCAGAGACTTCAGCTCGGCAGAGCCAGGTCAAGGAGCACCTCAGGACAGAGCACGTCTGGGCCGCCTGGCCGGGTTTCAGGATGCTGGGAGCTGCAGCAGGGAGAGAAGGGGAGCTCGAGACAGACAGACTGCTGCTGCTGGCATGTCCTGCCCTGAGTGGAGGTGCTGAGAAGCAGCAGCACGAGGCTTAGTTCGGTTTGGTTTCACCCTGGGCACCAGCCGACTCAAACACCCCCCGTTTCATGGAAATCAACAGCGAGTCAGCTAGCAGAGCACACAGGCTCATGCAGGTTCCGTGTAGAAAGGCACCAGATGGTCTGTTATGAAACACATTTTTGGTCAGAAAATAGCTGCGGTTTTTTGGTTCCTGGGAGGACAACAGAGGCCGCGCGAGAGGAGGGGGGTCGTGAGACGCGGCTTTGGCATCGGGCTCTGCGCTTGACCCCACCCGTCTACGGTAGGGGCCTCTCTCCTTGTCTGTCGAATGGCAACAGACCCTTCTCACACAAATGGAGGGGTCTGGTCTTACGAGTCTGGGCAGTGGGACCCAGGAACACACAGACAGAAATGAAGGGCAGGCACAACCCTGTCTGCGTGGGGAGTGGGGGGTCCAGTGGGGAGGGTCCTAACAAGGCTTGTGCTGAGGGGGCGCCCATGTCACAGTCAGACCGGACAGCCAGTCACACTGTTTCCAAGCACAGAAGGGGACCCCCCCGACTCCACGTGGACTTTGGAGCCCTTCTCTGAGAAGGGCAGGGAGGAAACTCTGAAAGCAGCACCCGGAGACCACGCGGCCATGTGCGCTCTAAAGTGCCAGCTGGTGCTGTCTTTGGTCAGGGGCCCACAGATCCCGGGGCTCACACCCAGGCCAGCTGGGGCCCCAGGAAGAGGTGGGCTCGAGGCCGCAGTGCCCTCCTGTGTTGGGAAGTTGCCATGAGTGAATAATTCAACCCCATTCAGTAAAGAGCAGGGGTACATACCCCCGGGAAATCTGAGTCCTTAGGGACAAGAAATGCTTTGGTCACATCCTGACGCCCCCAGCAGAGCAGTTGCTCAAGAAAGGCAGCAGGAAGCCGGTTGTAAGGGTGCGCAAGTTACGGAGCAGGAGCCGGGTCTGACGCAGCGCTGACTTCTGGGCTGAAGCAGGAGTCTCTGAATAAATAATATTCAAGGCATCCTTGCAAGTCCTCAGAGAGAGCGCGGGTTCAAATCAGCTCTCCCCTGTCTGCTGGCCACAGATCTCCTCTGTAGGCTGATGGCACCACCGACTGGAAGAGGGTGGCTGGGGGTCCTACAGCTGGGCGCCCCTGACACAAGCCCAGTCCTGCGTCCTCAGAAGCTGAAGAAGTCGTCTTGCTCGGCACCACCGCTGTCAGGCTTGTCCCAGTCAACAGGCGAGAGGCACTGGGCGTTTTGGATATCCTGGGCTGTCAGTCCCGTGTCCAGGACCTGAGGGTTCGTCCGGGACTGGGCCAACCTAGAAGGCAGAGCTCAGTGAGCCAACGGCTGGGGGCCAGCACATGGCCCGACCAGCACCAGGGGCAGAGTGAGGATGCCTGGTGGGCAAACACCAGGACACGAGGCCCAGGAAGGAGACCCTGGGGGGGGGCAGGAGGGAGGGAGAGAGTGTAGAAGGGGTCGTTTGATAGCCTGATGACACCAGAACGGGGGCAGGAGCACACAGATGGGCATGTGGAACTACACTCCCGACAGCACAGCACTGAGAGCCGATGGCAGATCAACAAAGTTTGTTTCAATTAAAAAAATAAATAAAAGTCCAGGATGCCAGGAGAGGTGAAACCTTTCGCCGCAGCACCAACCCTAAAAGGTCACGAATGGCTCAGGCACCCATGGAGCAGGCCTCAACCCTCCTGCCACTTCGCAAGCGAGGCTGGGCAATGCCCAGGGAAGGAGAAGAAGGCGAGAAGCATGAGCAGTCTTGGCCGTCACTAGACTCAACAAGTTTTTCAGAAAGTAAACTTAGGAGGGACATAAGTGTCCAAAGAATAGGGGAAAGCTGAGTACACTTTGCCCCATGTCCTAGAGAAGCCCCTGAGGCGGCCAATGGCCACCATGTCAACAGTGAGTCTCCTTTGCTCATTTGTTTCCGGTTTCTGAGCGACACCTGGCAGTGCTCAGGAGTTATTCCTGGCTCTGCACTCAGGAGTGGTGCTCAGGGCACCACCCCCTGGTGGTGCTCAGGGCACTGTACGCGGGGGCCAGAGACTGAGTTAGGGTTGGCCACATGCAAGGCAATAAGTGCCCCAACCCCTGCGCTCTCTCTCTGGCCCTACAGTGATGTATGGCCTACAGAAATGCTTCTGATACATTAAATGAGGCAGCGGGATCCCCAGATGTAAATACAATCAGCTGATCAATGCAAAAATTTTTTAAAAATGAAGTGTGCATGTATATGCTTTGCATGGATTCAGCCCAAAAGTCAGGGCTGTGGGGTTACAGGACGGTGTGATTTCCTGTTTAATATTTTGCTGATTTCAAACTTGCTAAAAAAAAAGGGGGGGGGCACATGATACTTGAGTAATCTAGAAACAGGAAATGGAAGATTTTCTACAAACAATGAAGTTGTAATGAGCAGGCCCAGGGAAGCAGGTAAGGTGGTAAAAACAATTAAAAACAATGTCCCTGCCCCCACACCCCACACTCCATCTGTACTCCCCAGGGCCGAGTCAAGGGGCTTCTACCAAACTCTGAGGGAAGGAGGTGAGGAGGAGGGAAAGGCAAGATGTTCAATAACCCTGATGGTAAATATTATCACCCAAAGGCGGGGAAGGGGCGGGGGAGAGGGAGGGAGAGAGAGAGAGAGAGAGAGAGAGAGAGAGAGAGAAAGTGCCTGCCATAGCGGCTGGCTGGGAGGAGGGGGGTGGGAGAAGGGAAACTGGCTGGGGACACTGATGAAGGAACTGGCTTTGGAACATTATGACTGAAATCCAGTCATGTAACAACTTTGTAACTATGTATCTCACAGTCATTCAATTAAAAAAAATTTTTTTTAATCCCTGACTGTTGCCCCCAAAGGACCCAAGTACTGGCCTTAACCCCAAAGTCCTGCTGCAGGAGGGCTACCCGGGCTGCTGAGGGTCCTCAGCGCATGAAAAGGAAGCCCCCAGGCCTCTCCTTGGCATCAGCCTTCTCCCTGCCTCAGGGCCCATCCCCTGGGAAAATGGGGGAATGCCACCACCCTCAGGCAGGACCGAAGTATCTCCGCACTGGCCCTGACATTCCACCTCTAAGTAATACTTCACGGGCTTAATTTAAGCATTACTTTCTCCCTGCCACTTTTCATAAATGTAAAACCTCTGGAAGGAACAGAGCCTGCCAAAAAGCTATCTGTTGGAGACCAGACATGTGTGAAGTGCAAATCCACCAAGCGTGTGAGCGGTGCTCAGGCTGGCACTGCAGCCGCTCCAACGGTTTCTGACTCAACACCAAGAACTTTCTGGCAGAACTGGCCAACACCAGGAACCAGCTCCCCATCCCTGGAGGAGTCTGCGTTGAGATTTCCGCTCTGAAGAAGGTCTCGATTTGTGTTCTCAGACGCGACAAAGGGCCCCGGGAGCCCAGCCCACCCGTGCCTCCTCCCCCAGCAGAAGCTGCCCGGCCCATGTTACCTTGAAAATGCTTCATCCAGGCCGTCGTCCAGCTCCTTGGGGAAAACAAAAGACACATGAACCCTCAATGGGGAAACCCATTCTCCAAGGGGGGGATGTCCCAGCACCGAGTATATGACACAAGTCTGGGAATCTGGCAAAGAGGCGCATGCATCTCGAGCCCTGGAACCAAACCTGGGATGCGGGACAAGACAAAGGGAACCACCCCAGGCCTCTGGAGATGAGCTCTCAGCTCCCAGCCCACCATGGACACAGGGACGTCACGGTGCCTAAGACTCAGTGTTTCCATCTGGAAAATGAGGGGATGATTTCAGTGTCTTTGAATCCCTAGAGGAAAGGATGGGGGTAGAGGTTTTCTTACTTTCATTCACTCCCAAAACTGAGCCAAAATTCCAAGCTTATGAGAGACAAAACTACTGGCGGGAAGCCACAGCTAAGATGGGAGAATGGGCAAGTTCTCCTCTTCAGTGTCCAAGAGATGATGGCAGGTGTTACATGTTTCGGGGCACCCAGCCTCTGGTGCCCCAGTAGGGAGAGGAGCTGTACCATTTTTTCAAGTCCCTCAACAATCTAAATTCTTACAAATTAAAAATGCATGACAAAATGACATGTGATTCTGCAACGGCTCCTGGGCCAGAGAAAGTCCATTAGAAGGACTCGTGGAGGAAAGTGAGTCAAGTCTCAGGTTACTTGAGAGCTCCCCATCATGTCAGAGCCTTTGGTCAGTGTGAGAGGGAGGACACAGCCAGGGAATCTGGACAGGAACAATTTTGGAACTTTCTTAAAGTCTGAAATTATTTTTGATTTTTTAAAGTAAAAATAATTTTAAAAGTAATTTTAAAATTTCGGTTCTGGGGGTCCAGAGTGATAGTACAGCAGGTAGGGCATTTGCCTGGCACGTGGTTGACCCAGGTTTAATCCCGGGCACCCCATATGGGCCCGTGAGCCCCAGCCAGTAGTGCGGCCTGTGTACAGAGCCAGGAGTAAGCCCTGAGCACAGCCAGGTGTAGCCCAAAAACACAAACAAAAACCCTGGTGCCTCGGTGAAGTTCTGCAAGCAGAGGTCATCTTTCTCATTGTAAAGATTAAAAAGGCTAAGATGCAGGGAGGTCAGGGGGCTTACGCGAAGTCATGGGGTGACGCAGGGACCAACTGCCCACTGCCCACACACATCTCAGGCTCCTCGCTGAGATGGCTGAGGGGGAAGGGTGTCAAGGGCAAACTCTGCCCACTCCGAGAACAAGAGAGTCTTTCGATCGATCCTGTGGTGGGCAGAGCCGTGCATGCTCAGGCCGAGAGGCTGGGCATTGTAAGGAGACAGCTGTGCTGGGTGCCAGGGCTGCTGGGGGCAGCCCCAGGGTTCAAAAGGGACATTGTCCTCCTCCTGCCCTGGGCCTGGGTGCTGCTGGGCTGGACTTCCCAGTGGCCTTCAAGTCCTCTGTAGCAGGGCCAGGACCCAGAACAGCCTTAGTCTTCACCCTGGCCACAGCACACTAGACCGGGAGGGTCCCCAGACCCAACGCTCACTCACCCAGATCACAGTGCTGTTGTTCAAGTTCGGAGGCCGCGGTGTCTCATCCACGTTCGTGGTATTAGCGCTGACTGTGGACAGTGGGGCCTTGGTTGTCTCCTCTAGGTCTAGCAGGTTCCCAGTGGCGACCACTATGAAGGCCCAATCGGTTGGAGCAGGGGCAGAGGAGTCAGACTGCCTAGCCCCATCCTGGGCCCTCCAGGCTGCCCTAATCCTGACTGCCTCCTGGGGCTCGGCCCACTCCCAGATCCATCCCCAAGCATCCCAAGACTGCCACCTCCCAAAGCAGTGAGAACTTGCCCCCTGTCCCCATGGTTCCGAGGGGAACTTCTATATTCATAACCAGGGTTGCTTTAAGTGGATCACACAACCGAATGTAAAGTACATATAGAAAGAAGAACAGGGACAATTGTGCAAAAATTTCTTTTTTTTTTTTTTCCTTTTTGGGTCATGCTCAGGGGTTACTCCTGGCTCTGCACTCAGGAATTACTCCTGGTGGTGCTCAAGGGACCATATGGGATGCTGGAAATCGAACCCAGGTCAGCCACCTGCAAGGCAAATGCCCTACCGGCTGTGCTATTGCTCCAGCCCCCCATTTGAGCAAGTTTCTATCCAGAAGAATGTGCACTAAAATGTGTCACATTTTCCCTTTGTCAACATTTTGACACATTCTATCACAAAAATTTGTATTATTTACTTGACAACAAAACACACACACACACACACACACACACACACACACACACACACACACAAGGGGGCCAGGCAAAATGGTGGAGTGCATGCCTTGAATGTGTGAGGGTCTGGATTTGCTCCCTGGCACAGAATATAAAGAAGAAACTTCAAACTGAGCATGCTTGAGGTCCAGGGAGGAGTGGGGGCCCCGAGAGGTCATGCAGGGGAGTTTGGCCCTCCCGCCACCCAGAGACTCACGGCTCTTCAGTGAGGGAGTGCTGTCATAGCGGCCACCACCCAGGACGTCCCCAGCTTCCTGGCTGGCTTTCTCCTTCTTCTCCTTCTCTGCAGAACCAAGACATAGCTCATTAGAGACCACGACCCCAGCATGGTCGCCAACAATCGAAGGGCAGAGGGGAGCCTGTGACCAGTCTTAGGGGGCGAGACTAGGCCACCAGCAGGAAGGACAGAAAGTGCTGCTCTCATTTAAGCTTCACAGGCACACTGGGGCGGGGGACAGGTGCTCCCATGTCATCAGAGGTGATGTGACCTGTCCAAAGTCACAAACCCAGTAGGTGATGGGAGAAAATCCATGGCAGGCTCCTCTGCCATCCCTCCCACCCAACACGGCCCTGCCAGGACCCCCTATATGCCCCATCCCAGCACCATACCCACTAACAAGACTGACCTTCCCTGGACACTTGCCAAATCTCAAAGGCAACCTTGAAGGCCTGGGCGACTGTGAGGGTGACGGCCTGGGCCTGCAAAACAGGAAGTAGAAGTGGAAAGACGGTGCAGAGTGAGGCAGGCAGCAGCAGGTCTGAACTGGAGACTCACCCGGGCCAAAAGAGGACAGAAAGGGCTCCCTCTTCACCAGCTGCAGCCCAGGAATGCTCCCCTTCTCTGCAGCCTCCCCTCTGCAGTGGCTCACTACCCCCACCTTTTGCCATCCCAGTGGCCTTCTCTCATTCCGAATTGTTCTCAGAGAAGCCCTCCCCTCAGGTAACCAAGCTCTTGGAACCAGACAACAGGGCGGTCAGCCCAGCCACCGCCCGAGTGTGCCACACTACAGCAGGCTCGTTTGGGCCGGCCAGCACTCTGGTTACCATGAGGCCGGTTAGAGGAGCGCAAAAACCAGGCCCTAGGACGGGAGTAGGAGGTGAATGTATTTCCGAGCAGGATCAAGGAAAACATGAGTGTGGGGTCAGAGAGTTAGTTCCATAGGTACAGTGTTGCCCTACACGCGTCTGACCCGGGTTCGATCCCCAACACCCTGTATGGTCCAGCAAGTCGAGAGTGCAGAGCCAGGAGTAAGCCCTGAGCATCGCCAGGTGTGTTCCCCCCTCGCCCCCAAAAAAGGGGGGGGGACCATGGCCTCCCGCTACCCAGACTGCCTCTGTGGCAGGGAGCAAAGGGCATTCAGTGTTTTCAGTGTCCTGACCCACCTGTGAGGAGGGGCCACACTTGGTGGATCCTTCACTCTGAAGAACTCTCTCCTACTCCCTCAGACACAAGTCAAATGCTATCACCGCACTCCTATCACCTGCACCGGGTTGCCTCTTTCTGCCACCATGCAGATGATGTCACCAGCCTGTCACCCTATTGGGGCACTTCCTAAAGGCAGGGATGAGTGTGACGGCGTGTAAGGACCCTGATTCCCAGAGCAGAGGGGCCCATGAGGCTGCACGAACCACATCAGCCAATGAGCCGGTCTCCTCCTGAGCCTCTCACCCCCCCCACCCCTCCACCCCCGATTCAGCGCAGCCTTTTCCTTGCTCTTATTCCAGCTCAAGGTTAAGCAGCTCAGCATCTGGGAGGAGGAAGTCCCAGAGCTTGAAACTGTAGCTGGAAGGAACGTCCAGCTTCCTTCCGAAAGCTCAGCTGAGGAAGAAAGCCCAGACTCAAGTGTGCAAGTTCAGGCCTGAGCAGCCGGGGGCCCCCTTCCTTCCCCTCACCAGACAACACGATTTAATTGAGAAATGAATCTGGGGCTACTGCCTTTAAAGCTCTTTTATTTTTTCCTTCTCTTTTTTAAATTTAAAATCTCTAAACAAGCTGACTGATCCATGCCAATTAAACTTCACGAAGTATAAAATCTCATTTGAATGTCTCCATCATTTACATTTTTGATGGAAGTACGGTGCTTTATGGCAAAACTTAAATATGGTAATTAAGTATGAAACTCCTCACAGCTGTTTACAATTTAAGCTGTCACATCTGAATCAAGTTTAATAGACCCAGTTACCATTGAGAATTGCCCATGAACTAAAAATATGGCCTAATTACCAGCCGGAGTCAGATCACTATATACCCAAGCAAGAACTGGTCACCCAATGTGGCAGTGAGATGGAAGCACCATTATTTTTGCCTCTAGGAAATCTGGGGGCACAAGTCTGATACTGTTTTCTGCATAAATTTACTCGGTCATTTGCATACATTCCCGCCCTTTTGCCCTGAAGTCTCGAGCTGCAAGTTAAACCAAATATAACCCAAGATGCGGGTGTGTGCAGGTGGCTGCAAGCCCAGACTGGGCGGGGACGAGAGGGCTGGGCTCAGCCGGATTCCAGGCAGCCTGACTGAGCTGCACTGCTCAGACCTGTAGGCTGAAGCTGACATGACTTAATCCTGAGGGCTGGAGACCTACCTCCAGGCCTCTCTCCAGTGCCTGGATGGGAGTCTCTTACTCCCACTCCCCTGCCAGGTTCGACTATGCCCTGTTTGTCCCATCCTTGGTTTTGTTTCCCGTAACTGAACTCTTAACTCCTCAGACAGGTCCCCCTGCAGCACCTGCCTAGCTGGGTCAGGCCAACAGAACCCCAGACCTCGGTCACTACTAGCACTGAGTGGGGCCCTGTGTGCCCCCTGGCCCCGAAGCATAAATCCTTGGTTTATGAAAGGATCACCAGAGGAATGCAGAGGACAAGTGAGAGACAAGGGTTCTGCCTCCGCCCTGCCGGGTACAGTTAGAATGTTTACTATCATTCACCAAGTTCCATGCCAAGCAGCAGCTCCACCTTCAATTCAGAGCCCGTAGGCTGAAGGGTTTCCGGAGGCCTCTCACTTGGGGACATGGAAACGCTTCTTTGTGGAGAAGCTTATTTTAGTCTGATAGGGGGTTTTGGTGCCAGGAATCAAACCCAGGGCCTTGTACATTCTGGCATGTGCTCAACCACTGAGCAACACTCCGTGGCCTGGTGAGCAGCTTACCTGGCCATGACCAACTGGGAGGGAGCCCTGAGGGTCCCACTGCCTGAATTTGGCTGCCAGAAAGGAATCCCTTCCACTCTTCCTCTCTCACCCCCATCTACCCGCCCCACCCTGGGGAGATCATAGGCTCCCTGAACAGAAGGTCCAACAAAGACCGGGTGTGGATATGATAGTGAGCCAGCAGCCAAGAAGAATGACGTTTTATCAATATACAAATTCAAGGCTGGGTCACAGATAGAGTCCAGCAGGCAGGAATGCCTGCTCTGCCTGCAGGAAGCCCGGGTTCCATTCCTGGCACTACATGATCCCTGGTCACAACTGGAAGGGAAGCCCCTTCCCCCTCAGCACTTGGAGTAGCCCTGGAGCACCATATTGTAGGTGTTGCCCCCAAACAAATAAAAATCCTGCAAATGTAAGGTTGGCTGTAGGTCGGCTCCACCGACCCAGGTTCCAGTGACGCGAGTACTCAGCCACCAAGTGCACCACTTAATTTCACACCTTCGTGACTCTACAAATGTTGATTTCTTTCTCTTTCATTTTTTCTTTTTAGTTTTGGGTTCTCCCCAACAGGATTCAGGAGACCTGGGGGCCTGGGGGCCTTCCTGGTAATTCTCAGCCATGGCCCAGCAGTTCCATTTGAGGGCTGAGAAGGCAGCGCTTCATGGGCCCTGCAAAGACAGGGAGTATCTGGGCCACTCCAGCAGCGCTTGACATCTCCAGGGCCCAGAGATTCGGGGGGGGAACCATGCAGTGCCACAGTGCTGGGGATCAAAACAGGGTCAGCGCCATGCAAGGCAAGTACCTTACTATCTCTGGCCCACTGCCACCATTTTTTATCTCTACGGCAATCCCCTCATCTGAGCCCAGCCCGGTCTGGGGCCTGGGAGAGAGAGGCACAGTGAACGTCAGTGAGGCATCTGCCAGCAGGTGGCTGCAGAACCTAAGCACTCCTTTCACCTCCTGCCTGTCACCTATGAAACTTCCACGATGTCAGAGAACTTCAAGCTGTCCAACTTGGCCAGCTCACATGGGCATGGGGGTCACAAGAGCATCTATCAGCCTGGCATGGGCAATCTACTGATACTGCCCAATCTACTGATACTGCTGTCTCTCTGAAGCACCTCTTCTGGGCACGCTGCTGCAAGAAGCTGGGTGGGAAAAGGGAAGAAGGAAAGACAGTTCCGTGACAGCTGCAAAGGAGGTTAAGCAAAGGCCCTGGGCGGCAAGGTCCAGCAGCCTTCCCTTGGCCTGGTCGAGATTGTGCTCTCAGCCTCAAGCAGGCCTGGCTCTTGGCCTCAGGATCTGACCTCTCAGTCTAGGGGCAGTCTCTGGCCCCACACAGGCCTCCCCGGAGCCACCGGGCCAGCACCTGTTCTTTAACCTGGGCCTCGCCATCCAGAGGAAACCTCTGCATCCCGGGCCCCTCCCAGCCAGGGTCCATAACTCCACAGCAATGGCTGTGGGCCAGCTGCCCCTGCCCGGTGGGGAGGAAGAGATGAACAATGGGGACATAATGAGCTTATATTTTTATGCCTATGTGGCCTCCTAAGAGACAAAGCAAGTTTCTGTGGGAACAAGGCTGTGTGATAAAAGCCACCACAGCTCAGGGCCCAGAGACATGCCGGCGACCCAGCGACCCGGGTGAGTGGCTGGAGGCTCTGGTGCTACGGGAAAGAAACACCACAGCACAGGAAAGGAAGTGGGGCTTTCAGACAGAGCCTGGAGGTTACCACCTCACTCTGCTGAGCAGGCAGCCCAGACAAGGGTCGGGCTTTCTATGCAGTCACCAAGAACAGCAGCCCGGCCTTCCGTGAGACTTGGCATGGACAGATTCATGGCCCCCGCAAAGGGGTCCAAATCCTAACCCCTAGAATCTGTGAACTACATGGCAAAAAAGACTTTGCAGCTGTGATTAAGTAAAAGGATTTAACGGGCCAGAGTGACAGTACAGCAGGAAGTGCGCTTGCCTTGCATGTGGCAGACCCAGTTTCAATCCCTGGCACCTGATATGGTTCCGTGCCCCACCAGGAGTGATCCCTGAGCACAGAGCCAAGAGTAAGCCCTGAGCACAGAGCAGCCAAGAGCACCACCACCTATAGCCCAAATCAGAAACAAATGAAGTAAAGGATTTCATGGCGGGTAGTAGTTCAAATCACAGGGTTAAGAAGGAGGGATACACAGGGAGATGAGGTACTGCAATGTGATGATGAAGCACTGCAGTGCTGACAATGACATCAGAAAAGGGGGCCACAAGCTAAAGAGTGTAGGTGGACTCTAAAAGCAGAAGAGGCCAGGAAAGGCATCTTCTCCCAGCCCAAGAGCCCCCGGGGGGAACACAACCCTGACAAACCACTTATGATTCCGACTTCCAAAAACACAAGAGAATCAATCTGCTGCTCAGCTCCACTAAGCGTGTGGTAATCCTTCGAGCAGCAACAGGAATTGTGCCCAAAGGTTAGGAAGCTTGAGGGCTGCTTGAAGGCTTCTCCTTGGATGACAGGGAGAGGAAACAGGATCTCGATCTCCTTGGCTTTAAGGACCACAGGGCTGGAGACTGGGCACTGAGCTCGGGAAAACTGGCCCCCGACCTCACCAAGACAAGTACATAGAAGGCACTAAACAGTGGGCACGTCCTTCTGTGCTCTGGCCTCTCTTGCCCTGGACTTTCCCATCAGCCACTCTGATCACAAATCTCCAAGGATTAATTTCCATGCGCCCCAAGGCAGATGACCCCACCCAAACTCAAATCCAACACATCACATTCTGGAGTCGCAGGGGCCCAGGCCTCTCCCTGAGAACATGACCGGTCATAGGGCAGGCGGCCAGCAAACAGCTACTCCGGCAGGTGGTCCCTCCCCGTCTGCAACTATAGGCAGCATTCTCAGTCCCTAGCAACCCATGTGGAATGCAGAGTGTCCCAGGATTTCATACTTCTCTCCCCCCCCCCCCCCCCCAAGTGGCTGAGGTCCATTCTGGCCCAGAATTTCATACATTTAAAGCGACAGTCACCTGTTAGCCTTGCTCCCCACCTGCCCCAACAGCAGGGCTGCCTGGGAAGCCTAGATCCTGCCAAGCCCGACCTTTCCCCACTAACCATCTTCCGCTTGGTACAGAGGAAGGCGTGGCACTCGAGATTTTCGTTGTGCTGGCTCTGGGCGATGTATGCAAACACTTTGTCGTGAGCCTTGTCTGCTGTGCAGTAGGAGATCCTGAAAGGCAGAGGGAAGTATGACTGACCACACCCAGGGTGCCCCAAAGGCCACTTCCCCAATGCCCCAGAAGCTGTCTCCCAGCCCGCCAGTAGAGCCTGCAGAGAGAGGCCCATCCAGGAGGAGACATAGGCCAGGTGAGGAAGGTAAAAGGGAAAGCCTGGAGGGAGAGCATGCCATACCCCAAATAGTAGTAGCTCTATTCTCTTGGCCTCCCATGCAATGTTCCCAAAGCTTTCCACATCCTGCCTCATTTAATCCTAAACCATCCATTGAGATAGGTTCTATTACAATCCCCACTTTTTGGATGAGAAATCTGAGGCAAATGGTCTTGGGCCACCAAGCAGAACTGAGACCTGGACTTAATTGCAGATACCAAATGCAGTAACCAGGGCCAGAGCCATAGGACAATGAGATAGGGTTTTTGCCTTGCATATGACTGGCACAGGTTCAATCCCTGGCATCTGTCAGGAGTGATTCCTGAGGATAGAGCCAGGAGTAATCCCTGAGCACTGCTGGGTATAGCCCCAAAATCAAAATAAAACAAAACCCCAACGCAATAACCAATGCCTCTGAAGGGTATATAGTGACCAGCTAGGAGGGGGAGCAGGACCCTGCCCACCCTACCGATGCCCTTCTCCCACCCTCCCCCACCTCCACCTGCTCTCTGATCATGCCCCTCCCCAGAGATCAGATGTTCCAGGTCCTTCTCTCCTCGGGTGATGAGAACACGAGTGCTACCAAGTTTTCCTGGCACAGAGCCCAGGGTGAGCAGCTGGAAGAAGGAAATGATGTGTGGAGATCACCAACCATTCCAGGAGCCCCAGTGGGTCCAGAAGATGGAGTAACTCCCTCTTTTATGGAACACTGACATCCCCATCTAATCCCGTCACATGCTTCCCAGTCATCCTGGGACAGTCCATTAGAAAGGCGCTGGCAAGCCAGAGGCAGGCAGAAGCTCATCAGTGGTCCTGTGTGGGCGAGCTTCAATCACAGGCATGGACTTAAGGGTCAGACCCGGGAAGAGGGCTGGAGACAGGATAGGCTGCAGACTTGAGTTCGATCCTCTGCATGTGGTTCCCTGAACATACATAACAACGCTGACACAGCGTAAGGGGTAAGTACTGAGCACTGTCAGGTGGGAGCCCCAACGAAGAAAGGGAACAAAACCCTAAGAAAGAAAAAAGAAAGGTGCTAGATTTCCTGTTGCCTCTTTTCCACTCCAGGGCACCTGGCCTTCTGTCCCCCACAGAAGGTCTTCCTTGATTTCCCTGGGCAGGCCCATCTGTCTCTGTCTTCCAGGGAAATCTTTATCCTCTACCTCCAATTTCCCCCTTCATTCCCACCTCACCAGGAAGCTCCATGAGGGCAGCAGCTGGGTGTGACTGTCTGATTCCTCATCCCACAGACCCTGGCAGAACAATTTTTTTCAAGAAATTATTCTGCCAGGGTCTGTGGGATGAGGAATCAAAATCTCGGTTAAAGAAGGCCAAACAATGGGAGCTGGAGAGATAGCACAGCGGGTAGGGCTGTTTGCCTTGCACGTGGCCAACCCAGGTTCGATCCCCAGCATCCCATATGGTCCTCTGAGCACTGCCAGGAGTAACTCCTGAGTGCAGAGCCAGGAGTAACACCTGTGCATCGCAGGGTATGACTCAAAAAGCAAAAACTAAATAAATAAAATAAAATAAAGAAGGCCAAACAAGAGGGTAGAGGACATCTGGAGATGGGAGACTGCTGGACAGAACCCAGACTCAGTGTCACTGTCCCAGCTCAGCCAGCACCGACCTAACTGTGAGGCCTTAGGAAATGCCCCTCCAAGCCTCAGCTTCCCCCTTTATAAAAACGGACTATGCTCTGTGTTCTGGCTCTGACACCCTACCAGTGACAAGAGTGAGACGGATGGGAACTGCCTGAGGCTGCCAGGGGTAGGGCCAGCTTCCCAGTGAACAGCCAGGGCTGCCCTCCAGATAGAGGCCCCCTCTGACCTCCCGGTCTGTGGCTTCCCTGGTTCCTGGCTAGCGGGTCCAGTTCCAGAGCAGAAGTCAAAGAGAACAACCCTGCAGGGCCGCAGCAACAGCCATTCAACCAAGAGCCCCTCTGGGAGCCTGGCGCTGTGCTTGCGACAGAGGAGCAACGGGCGGCCCCAGATAGAGCGGTCAAGCTGAGATTCAGGCGGGTCAGTCCAAGGGCTGCCCTGTGGCAGAGTGCATGTGGGTGATGTTGCCCTTACCTGTAAATGGACACGTTTTCGATGAGCTGGTCGGTGATGCTGTCTGTCAGAATGATCCCCCGTGGTGACACCTTGAGAGTCACCTTCTGCAGCTTCTTCCCGCTGGCCTTGGCCTGGGGATAGACATGGGTCAGAGGAGTCAGTCCCGCTTGGGACCCACCCCTCCTGGGTGCTCCAGACTCCAGGCCCACCTGAGGTGAGATGTCAGCCTCGTTTACATAACAGGAGCACCAGAAAAGACAATACGTCCTGGGGGGCACCCTCATGGTGGAGAGGCAGCTCCACAGGACCCAGGGGACAAACTGCGTCCTAAGCAAGGCGTAAGGGGCTCAGCAGCAGAGACTGCTCAGACAAGCCCAATCAGGGTGATAGGCAGAGGGCAAGCAGCACCAGGAGAGGGGCTGGCCTTACCAAAGGGGTCCGCGCCCCGGGTCCCAGCTGGGCTCACCGTGGCCACGATCCTCTTGACGGCAGCGGCTGACAGCTCCTCGCCCTTGGGTTGCTCCACCAACGTCATGCCCAGGTACTTGAGGCTGAAGACCATCCCCTCGAGAAGGGTCTCCCGGGTGTCAGTCCAGTTTTCGGGCAGCTCTGTGCAGAAGCAGGACAGGCCCTCAAACCACTGCAGAGGCCACCAACCCAGTCCCAAGCAAGGAAGACCCAGCAAGGGATAATAGGGTCTCCAACGGCCACTTTTAGTTTCCTTGTAATAAAACAGTTCTTTTACCAGTATATACCAGCACTGTGGTAGGATGGTAAGAAGTTCCAGAGAATATTCTCAACTCTGTAGTAAGAAGTTCTGGAGAATATTCTCAACTCTCACGAAAACCTAAGAGGCAGATTCTTGTATCCAATTACAAAGACACTTAATAAATTTTACAGGCAAGACCACACCACCAAGTCCACAGAGACAGGGGCTGAAGTGATAGTACAGCAGGGAGGGCATTTGCCTTGCACACGGCTGACCTGGGTTTGATCCCTGGCATCCCATATGGTCTCCAGGTTACTCCAGAGCCAGGAGTAACCTCTGAGCACCACTGAGTGTGACCAAAAAAGCAAAAAAAAAAAAAAAAAAAAAAAGGAAAAGGGCTGAGGTTTGAGCCCACATTCTCAAACCCAAAGCTCAGACTCTTTAATACTAACACCTGCTGAGGCAAATGCAATCTTGTGAGTGGATATTACTATCCCACTTTATAGATCAGGAAACTGAGGACAGATTAAGAAGCTGAGCGCATGCTTCGCACTTGGGAGGCTTGGGTTCCATCTTCAGCACTGCTCAGTTCCCCAGGTACCTCTAGGAGCAACCCCGAGTCCTGAGGTAGGCACAGGTCCTCAACATCACAACATCACACGGGTTTCCCAAACAACACACAAAACCAATTAGGAAACAGGCTCAAAAAGATGAAAGTACCAAAGGTATCAAAGGTAAAAAGGATTCTATGGTCAGAATCCAGATCTTTGGGGGCTGGAGAGATGGGACGGGGTTAGGGCGCTGCCTTGCACTTGGCTAACCGGATCCCTGGCACCCTTTGTGGTCACTGAGCCCCACCAGGAGTGATTCCTAAGCACCACTGGGTGTGACCCCAAAGCAAAACAAAACAAACCAAAAAATTCAGACAGTGCCGCTGCCCCCACTGTGTCTGCAGGCCCAGTGAACCCAGTACCAGCTCTGCTGCCCACCACCTGCCTGTGCCAGGGTCGGGCTCGACTCTCCTCTCCGAGACCACTGAAGCTTGGGCTGCAGCGATTAGCTCAGAGCACAGCCCCTGAGAAGGTCCTTAGGAAACTGATCCTGACCAGGACAGGAAGGCTGGAGAAGTGAGGGTGGGCAGGATGCTCCCAGGGTAAGGAAAGGGAGGGAGAGCTAGAAACAAAGCCTGGCATCGGGCAGGGACAGGAGGGAGGAGTGGTAGTCTACAGTGGCAGTTCTAACCATCCTCAGGACTCCTCCACTGAGCACTAGCCCAGGAGTGGCAGATGGCTCAGCTGGGAAGCAAGGAGACCAGAACAGGAAGGAGGATCCCCAGGAGGCCCTCCAAGCCTTGTCACCAGGGCAAGTGACACCCGTGCTCCTGCCTCTAAGGACCCTTTGCCTGTCACTTAGTGTTCCCTCTCAGAGGCCACAGTTCAAGCAGTGCTGTGACTGGACCCACTCTGCAGCTGAACACACACTGACCATCAGCCTCACACACACACCCTGGAGAGAGACAGGGATCAGCTTCCAGGGGCCAGCAGAGAAGTAGCCAGTGGCAGCTTCCTTCCAACCTTTTCGGTCCCTCCTGCTGCCTGCTGGAGCCTCCCTCGCTGGGGCTACGGGGAACTCCCTACGGCTGGGCAGTGCTGATTCCAGGGTTCAGAATCAGTATCCAAACCGGCACTCCGAGCTCCTGTTCTAGAGCCTGAAGCCTCGCCATCTCCTGGGCAGACACGGGGTCTGGCACACCCCCATCTTTCTGGATCTGATCCTAGGAAGGGCCTGTTCCCCTCTGAGGCTATCTGCGCATCTGAAGAGGTGCACAAATACGTTTGATGGGCTGGGTCATACGAGGACTGACAGAATACCCAGCTAAGGAGAGACTTATGGTCTGTCGGGACAGCTGAGCCCTAGCACGCAGCTGGCACTTGCTATCTGCTGAGTAAAGTAATGACCTGGACAACTGGATAACTTCCAGGCCTTCGAAGCCTCTAACCTCATTTGTCACTCCAATCCCTCGCCCACTGCCTGTGAGCCCTTGTCCTTGAACTCTGACCCCAACATGAGGCCCATCCCCCAATGACATCACCCCAAATGGATTCCCACCTCCCTCCAGCCCAACAATTTCCTTTGATGCTCCACAAAAAAAGAACCAGGAAGTCGCCAGGAGTCCCAGTCCCAGGCTAGGTGACAAGGCACTGTTCTTGTCAGGCAGGGCCACGCTCACCCAGAAACCAAGGCCACTGCCTGGTTCAGCAGGGCCAGGAAGTAACAAAGGCAATGGGAACAAAGCTCTTCCCCTCACCTCTCTCAGCCACCTTGCAAGCAAGCGTTCTTTCATTCCCATTTCACAGTTTAGGAAATAGAGCCTCAGAGGTCAAGTAACTTGTCAAATGAATTGCCTATCTAAATCTAAAATCTAAGTGCCTAACCTTGAAGCTATCCTATCTTCCATAAGACAAGCAATTTGAGCACAATGTCAAGGAAGTTCCTGGAGCTAGAAATATTTCCTTCTCTAATCCCCAATTCAAGAGAGTTCCCCTTTGTGGGCTGAGATACCCTGACTACTGCTTTCATTTCCTTTTTCTTTCTTTCCTTTTTTTTTTTTTTTTGGTTGTTGTTCTCTTATGCCATACCTGGCTATGCTCAGGGCTTACTCTTGGTTCTGTGCTCAGGGATACTAGGGATCAAACCCAGGTCAGCTGATGCAAGGCAAGCACTGTCCCTACTGCACTATCTCTCCAGCCCTGCTCGATCACTTTCAAGATGCAAAGATGTAAACTCTGTGTTCAAGCCCATCACCTGTATCCTTGGCAATGTTGCTAATCAACTGCAATGTCTATTTCCCTCAGCTTTACAGAGGCTCCAGGTGAGCAATACCAAGCCATAGGGTACCTTGCTCACCTCATTATCTCTCACCGCCCTGCTGCAAACATCCTTCCTCCTCTCATTTTCTTGTCTCTGCTCTCCCATTTCCTCTGGCCTGTCAGCCCTTTCCTGGCCCTCCTCCAAAGCCACTTCCGCTCCCTCCATTCCAAAGGGCCACAGCCTGCCAAGGTCACAGATGACCTCTTTGTTGTTAAAACATTCCCCAGTGCTCCTTGACCTCCGAAATGCTTGACATTTTTCTGCATTCCTCCTTGCTGTCCTGACCCTCGCTTGGATCTACAGCCTCCCAGAGGACCACTCTGCTAGTCTAGTGTTGCCACTCATCCGAGACTGCCCAGTGCTCGCACCCCTCACCTGGCAGATGAAACCAAAGCATTACAAGGGAAGGGGCTTCTGCAAGATCACGCACGGGGCTGAGCACTGCCCACACCTCCCCAACACACCCCATCACAGACTGTTCACACAATGACTCCCTCCCCACAATACCTACACACACACACACACACACACACACACACACACACACACACACACACCCCAGAAACTCTAGCACAGATTCTTCCGTCAGATTTGTACTTCACACTCTGCACCTTCACTAATTACTGCCCTTCCCTTCATCTGACTGAAACCCTCCACCTCCAGGCTCCTCCGGGACCCCTCTTTAAGGTTGGATAGCCTTGGGTTAAAGGCCAAGAGCCTAGAAGCAAGATTCTGATATTGAGGGATCCTAATTATGAAGTTAATTACCTCCCCGGAACCTTATCACGGGGCTGCTTCATTCCCTCGGTGAAACAGTGAAATATAACATGCTTAGCAGAGGGCCGTGTCCTCGGTGGATGCTCAGCAAACACTGCGCCTCTTCACAGGGCCTCAGTCTTCTCTGAGCGGGTAACCTGTATCTCGTGTGTGGATTTCTGTCTGTTCCTCCCTCAGCCACAGCACATCAGGCCAAGGAACTACCTACCACATATCTTCCTCTTGAAAGGACTTCCGTTCATGCCTGCCTCCCCCGGGCACTGCCCACTGCTACCACTCTGCCCACTTCTCTCTCTTGCCTTGTTTCTCCCTCCATCCTGTACTTCCAGGCCCAGCTAATAGTCTCCTTTCCCGCTGGGGAACCTGCCCCGCTTCCTACTACTACATATCGTTGGTCTCTCGGGCGAGTGCCCCCACCCTTACTGTATAGAACAGTACCTTGAGGCCCTTAAGGACAGATTGGTAGGGTTCATTTTCATGCCTGCCCTTCATCCGACACCTCGATGGGCTGGAGGCTCCCAGGAGGAGGTCAGGGCTTCAGGAACAGCTCCCAGAGGTCCCTGGGCAAATACAGGCCTGAATCCACAGACTAGTTCCGGTCCTGGTTATTTTTGGCTTTGTGGTGGATAATGACTGTGCTATTTTCACTCTGCAATTTTACAGATGACTTGCTGTCAGAGTTAGCTGGGGACAAACCATATGTCCAGCCCAACTCTTGGCTCTGAACATGTGCTCTTTCCAAGGCCCCTTGACCAGGAGTCAGCACTGGGCAGGGTACCCCTTCTGCTGCCCTGGGAGACCTGGGAAGACTGGAATCTTCAAAGCTACAGGCAAACCCAGGGGCCACCCCACCAAGTTGCCGCAAGGCTGATAGAGTTGACAGAGGAGGTGGTTTCAGAACCAAGCCTGGTATATACCAAATGCTGCTGAAATGGAAACTAGTAGTGTTGCCAAGAGCCAAGTGCAAGGAAGAGCTTTGATGTAAATGGACTCCTTTACGCCTTTACAAGACAGTGATGAGATAGAAGATTAAGAAAAGTCAGGGAGATGTGAATAGTTCTACTCAGAGATGAAGAAGTTCAGACTGGAACTAGTCTGTGGAAGATGCTCAGGAATCTGATCCCAGCTCAGACTTGACAGTACTGGTACCCAAAACCCACAGTCCATGGAGCTGGAGCAATAGCACAACAGGTAGGGCGTTTGCCTTGCATGTGGCCAACCTGGGTTTGATTCCCAGCATCTCATATGGTTCCCCGAGCACTGCCAGGAGTAATTCCTGAGTGCATGAGCCAGGAGTAACCCCTGAGCATCGCTGGGTGTGGCCCAAAATGCCAAAAAAAAAAAAAAAACACACAACAGTCCACCAAGGCAGGGACCCGGCACATGATGGCCCAGGAGACCAGCGTGTCTGAGAGGAGTGCCTCAATCACTAGAGAGGGCAGCGGGTCACCCGACCTCCACATACCATACACCTCCCCCTCTGCACCCGGTTAAGCCTCCTTACGGCTGGAAGGTCGGGCCCAATTCCTCCCGCCTGGTATTCAGTGTCCCGCTCACCTTCTTGGACAGACCCTCACTCACTATCAGGATATTATCCCCACCTTTTTTCTCTTTGGGATGAAATCTACTCTCCCCCTGCAAGAGATGCCTATGTCCACGGGACCTGGGACATTAAGAGCTCCCATTCCAAGTACCCACCACTCAGGGAAAGTGCCCTAGAGGGAATAGCCTTGGTGGGGGGCCCACAACCACCTGAGCTCAGGGGCTCCTCCAGGCGGTGCAGACCACTCTTGGTGCTGCTCAGGGAACTGTATGTGGTACAGGGGACCAAACCGGGGTCAGTGCTCTAAACACCCTGTACTTCCTCTCCAGCCCCTTTAAGGGTGTAACTCTAAAGAGCACATTCCTCCAGAGTTCCCGCAGACAAGAGTTCCAGTCACCCACACTGAGCAGTATTTGGTGTCTACTTTAGGGGATCTTTCTCACTTCTCTTAATATTTCCTGGGATCTTTTCCCCAATACATGACTGGCACTCAGACCCATGTCTCAGCATCTGCTCGTAGAAGAATTCAAACAAAGACAACACTCTATGTAAGGAAACTGTCCCCATCATTTCCTCAGCCCACTGTATCTCTCTTCACGAGGTCACCACTATCGCCACATGAGACTACTTATTTATGCCCTGATCCTGCTGCGGCCTCCCTCCCCACATGATGAGCACTAACAAAGGAGACCCACCCGGCTGTTGGCGGGGGGCACAAAGTCAGCACATACTCCATACTCAATTACTATTATGAGGGTTTGGAGCAATAATACAGCGGGTAGTGCGTTTGCCTTGCATGTGGCCAACTCAGGTTCGATCCCCAACATCCCATATGGTCCCCTGAGCACCGCCAGGAATAATTCCTGAGTGCAAAGCCTAAAGTAACCCCAGAGCATCGTCGGGTGTGACCTCAAAAGTCAAAAATACATTTATTAAAATCTTTGTCCTATGTTTGAAAAAAGTTTTTAAAAAATCATTATTATGGTTTGAGGCTTGTAACATCATTCACAAATAATTGCGAATTCGGGGCTAGAGTGATCGTATTTGGGTGGGGTATTTGCCTTGCATGTGGCCAACCCAGGCTCAATCCCTGGCACCACATCTTATCCACCAAGCCTACCAGGAGTGATCCCAGAGCACAGAGCCAGGAGCAGTCCCTGAGTACTGCTGGATGTGGCCCCAAAACAAAAAAATAAAAATAAACTGTGAGTTATCACATCCCCACCAACCACCAGGAACTACCTAGAGGGACCCACTGCTCATGTTTCTGAGTTCTCAGACTAGCTGGCACAACCCACAGAGTGGCTAAGAGCCAGAGGGACCCCAGGAGCTCTGGAAAGAACAGAGCGCCCCGGTGAGCCATCATTTCAGGCAGCTGAAAGACAGGAAAACCCATGGCTGGGGATTGAGCTAAAATGGGTGCAGTTCTCTCAGAGAAGGGGGACAGCAGCCTCTCCTAGATCGTAAGGGGAGAAGAGAGAGTCACTGCATAGCTGCCTGGAGTGCTAGCTTTGCTGTGTGACCGAGAGCAAGCTGCATCCCTTCTCTGGGATTCAGGACCTCCGGAATAAAATCATAATCTTGTTAATCCCAGCTGGGGCTCTTGAGAAGTATACAGTGACATATCTAATCTTTTTTTTTTTTTTTTTGGCTTTTTGGTTCACACCCAACCATACTCAGGGTTTACTCCTGGCTCTGCACTCAGGAATCACTCCTGGTGCAGGGGACCATATGGGATGCCAGGGATTGAACCTGGGTTGGCCACGTGCAAGGCAAACACCTGTCCCACTGTACTATAACTCTGGCCTTTCACAGCTAATCTTAACTCCACTGCTTCACTCTGCCTGAAACTAAACACTAGGACTCAGACCTTGAGGGCTAGGACCCGGGTCAGAAAACACCTCGGCCACAGGAATCTCCCTGGACCTTGTGATCACTGTCATCTTCAGAAGCTACCACCCTGAGGTGGAGCCTGCCTCCCAGACCTTCCTACGGCCAGAGGCACCTCTGGGCTGCTGCTGGAAAGCTCTGTGTTGGGGCCAGTGACTCCAATTCCCCAAGCTCGTTAAAGTCTAAAATGGATCTGATAATAATGCCTGTTGTCACCTCAGAGGAGCAAATGAGTTAACGGAAGTAAAAACTGTGTGTCAAACCTAAAAGTGACAAAAACAACACTCCCCATTTATTGAGCTCTATAAATTCCAATTCCAGAAACACCATTTCATTTCATAACCCCACCCCTGAGACTCTCCCTCCCTCCACCTGGAGAAGAGGCTCAGCAGCAGAAGAGCATGCTATGCATGCTGGATACCATCCCTGGAGCCACAAAACAGAAACACACCTGAGAGGGGACTACTATGTATGGTCCACTTAAGGATGGAGCAGGGCGCTGGAGAGATAGCACAGAGGGTAGGGCGTTTGCCTTGCACGCGGCCGACCCGGGTTCGATTCCCAGCATCCCATATGGTCCCCTGAGCACCGCCAGGAGTAACTCCTGAGTGCAGAGCCAGGAGTAACCCCTGTGCATTGCCGGATGTGACCCAAAAGGCGGAAAAAAAAAAAAGAAAAGGGAAAAAAGGGATGGAGCAGGTGGAGATTTGACCCAGACCATCCTGGGCCAGGAAAGCTCCAGAGATGCAGTATGGCATTACAGGGGTAGGGGGTGATATCTGGGGAGCATGTCCTCTCCCTTTCTCTGCAGGTGTGTAGAAAAGCTTGGAGCCCCTCAAATGTTTCACCACAGTAATGTATGTAAGGCCCACCTGTGGGCCTAGGTAAAGGGAGCCAGGGGAGAAGGAAGAAAAGTCGGATCAGGGGCCAGGAATAAGTTCACCAATAAGTTCCTCAGCGCCCCTACCAAGTGGGAATTTTTATTCCTCTTCTGCAGATGAGGAACCGCGGGACACAGGATCCGCTCAAGACCTAAGCAGGCAGAAGAAACTCTCCCACCATCCACGCCATCCCCAGACGGAGAGGGGCTCCCTTTGCCAGCGCTGCCTCCATCCCTCCCCGCAAGGGCACTTTGCTGGTTACACCCCACCGAGGGTGAAAGCCGCTATTTTAGAAATCACTAGGTGCGGGCGATGCGCGAGGGAGCCCAGCCCGGGCTCTGCCCGCCTTGCGGCCCCCAGCAGGCGCCAGCCCCGCGGCCCCAGTTGCCAACCCCGTTTAGGAAGCCGCAGCCGCAGCTGGATTTGCAGAGTTGGGGCGGCGAGAGGAGGAGCTGGAGCGGGGCTGAGCCCTGACACGCTGGCACTCCCAGGCCAAGGGAGCTCGGCGGGGCCCGGGAGCGCAGTGGGGACCCGGGAGCGCAGTGGGGACAGTGAGTGACAGTGCCTCCCCACGGTGGTTGCCCGCTGCGGGGCGGCCGGTGCACGGCAGTTGCGGGGTGCGGGGGGCGCCGTGCGGGAGTGCAGAGCAGGAAGGTGTGAGTCCAGACTCCCCGCAGCGGCAAAGGAGGGGCCGGGATTGTTTCTCAGGCCTCGGGGGAGGGTGCCAGGTGCCGGCTTCCCTGAGAGCAGAGGCGCCCGGGAGAGAGGGGTGGGGTGGGGAGCTGCCTCCCAGACACCCCGGGGAGAGCCGGCGCGAGTCTGCCAGCGCCCGGGGCGCCCGGGGACCGGGCCAGCCCGAGGGGGAAGGTGCGGGAGAAAACAGGTTTCAGACCCAGCCCTGGGCAGGGGGGTGGCGGGGAACCCGGCTGGAAGAGGGGGCACGGGATCCTGTTGCGACGCCGCCCCCAACTTCTACTAGACCCCGGCGAACCTGAGCTCTCACCTGGCCGGGCTCGGGGCGCCCGGAGCGCAACCACGACCCCCTGGGTCGGACCGAGAGGGGCACAGACGGAGAAGCCGGGACGAGGGGGCCCCAAGCCCCCCGGAGCCCACCCCTGCTTCGGTCGGCAGGCACCGACGCCGCCGGGCTCTCGCCTCCGCTCGCGCCCGGGGCAAGGTGAGGGGGTGCAGGTTTGGCTCCGACCTACGAGTCCCCCGCCCCGGGGACCCCGAGCTCGAGCTTGTGCTGGGCGGCACGGGGCACGAGTGGTGACCCCCAGCACCGCAGAGCCGCGCGGGACAGCGGGACGGCGGGACACCAGTCGGCCGCCGCCTCCCCCGCCCGCCCCAGAGCCTGCGGCGCGACCCCCGCCCGCCCGGCCCGGCGGGCGCGCACACACTCACTCCGGTGCCGGCCGCCGCCCCCCCAGCTCGGCTTGGCGAGGCTGGGGCTCCGGATCAGCGCCCGCCCCGCGGACTTGAGCGCGTCCATGGCCGCTCCGGCCGCGCCGCCACCAAAACTCCGTCAGGGAAAACTTTCCGCCGCGGCCAGGTTGCGCGCCGACTCCGCGATCGTCCCTCCCCGCGCGGGTTCTGCGCCGACGTCCGGGTGGGCGGGGCCCGGCCTGCTGGTCCCGCCCCGGACCCGCCCCCGGCCCGCAGGCCCCGCCCGGACCCGCAGGCCCCGCCCCTGTCGCCCGCAGGTCCCGCCCCGGCCCTGCCACTCCGGGTCCCGCCCAGCTCCCCGCCGCGGTCCCCAGGCTGCCCACGCAAAGGGTGCCCCTAGTTCAGAGCGTCAGGATAGACACACCCCTTTCCTTTCCCAAGGCCCGTCTCGGATCTGAGCGACAGTCCCACACCTGAGGAAAGTCCGGCTGGAGGATACTTAGGGATCACTTTAGATTTGGGGAGACTGAGTGCTAGACACCAGCGTCTTTTCCTGGGATATGAAGCTGTCTAAGAGAGGTGGAGGTTGCTGGGACAGTTAAAAGTTTGCCTTAGCATGACTTAGTACTTTACTCACCGAACAATGAGCATGACGACTTGATGCTGAACTCTCTCAGACAGCTCTGTGCTCTGCCCCCCTCATCCCCACTCCTCCCCATCCCCACTCCATCTCCTCCCCACCCCGCATTCCCACCTCTAGACACTCTCGCCCGGGTCTGGGGGCAAAACGCCCCCCACGCCACACACACACACACACACACACACACACAGTATCTGACTTGTATGTCTTCTGGCAATATTTCCCCTTTGTCTCTTTCATCTTTTGTGGGGAGGCACACCCAGTGGTGCTCAGGACTTACACCTGACCCTGTGCTCAGGGGTCTCTCCTGAAGGGGCTCAGGGACTGTATGCGGTGCCAGGGATCATATCTGGCTTATCGCGGTATAAGGCAAGCATCTTGCCCACTATACTATCTCTCCAACCCCAATTTTTGGGGGAGGCCAATGGGAGCCACACCCAGCTGTGCTCAGGAGCTACTCTTGGCTCAGTGCTCAGGGACTGCTCCAGGCCATGCTTGGAAAGCCATGCAATGTCTTTGATCTATCTGACTACCCACACTTACACCTCTTAATCTTTATGGGTAAAACAAGATAGGATCCTACCTCTAGTGATCCTTCCAGCCTGCTGGAGTACTGCCTGGCCTTGACCCAGACCTCTCTCTTCTTGCTAGAGGCCCTTTGTGAGGAGGTGGATTCTAGAATTTCTCAAGCATGCATGTTCATTTTATTTATTTATTTTTCAAGAACCATGATTTACAAAGTTATTGATAGTTGAGTTTTAGGCATACAATATTTCAACACCAATCCCACCACCAAGGCCAACTTCCCCCCCACCAGTGTTCCCATACTCCAAACCCTCGCCCTCTCCCCCCAATCCCCCTATCCCAGCCTGCCACCTTGACAAGCACATTACAAAGTTTAGTGGTTGAAGTTTAGATCTCATGTTTTTAGTGTTGCTGAGTCTGTGCTTTGGTTATATAGCTACTCTTCCACATTACCAGTATAACCGAAACCCCGACTCTTATCCCCCTATTACTTCCCTTTTCCCCCTTGGTTTCTTTCCTCCTCTGCCCTCCCTAAACTCTGGGGTCAAGGGTGATTTAGGCATCCCTCTTTTACTGCATTACATGTCCTCATCCAATTATTCTATATACCCCAGATAAGTGAGATCATGCTGTTTGTCTTTCTTCTTCTGACTTACTTTGTTCAAAATGGTATCTTCAAGCTCCAACAGGGTTGCAGTAAATTGCATGATATCATCATTCCTTGCAGCTGCATAGTATTCCATTATATACCACATCTTCATAATCCATTTATCCTGTTACTGGTTGATTCCATATTTTAGCTATTAGACTAAGTACAGCAATGAATAACAATGTAGCAAGCACACATGTTCTAAATCCAGCAGCTGTATCCACTGAATGGCTTTGCTGGATAACCTGGAAGACACACAGCCAGCCACGGCCAGAAACAGCCAACCACAGCCAGTCACAGCCAGTCACAGCCAGCCTCAGCTCAGTGGGGCACTGCAGCTGGTGTGACTGTTCCAGGCTCTGAAGCCAGTAGTCCTGTCCCTGACTCAGAGAAATATGGAGCTGTGTGACTCCCGGCTAGAAAGGGAGTCCCCCCTCTAACCCCCCCCCCCACACACACACACATTCTCTCGCTCCCTCCTCTCTTAGCTTTATTTTTATTTTGTTATGTTTTGTTTGATCACACCTGACTGTGCTCAGGGCTTACTCCTGGCTCTTCACTCAGAAGTGACTCCTGGCATTTTGTGGAAGACCACATGGGGTGTCAAGGCTTGACTGTGCAAGGCAACACAACATGCAAGACAAACACCCTACTGCTATACCATCTCTCCAGCTTTAAGCTGCCTTTTTTCCATCTGTTCTTTGCTCCTGCACCTGATACCATGGCAGTCAGCAAATCTGTTGAACAGGGAAGAGTCCCAGAAAAAAACATTACTGAGGGTTTTTGGAAGTCTTCAAAACCCAGCCCAGAGACCAGAGCAGAAGGTCAGATTTGGGGGGTTTTGTTTCTGCTGAGTTTGGGTTTTATGACCACACTTCGTCATGCTCAGGGGAGGGGTTGATCCCTGATGGATGTTCACTAAGGGGTCACTCCTGGTAGTTTTTGGGGAACCATACAGTGCCAGGATCAAAGTTGGGCCCCTGGTACAAGAAGCAGGCATACTAGCCCCATGAGATATCTCCCCCGTCTAGAATGCCAGTCACCTTTCTATGCCTCATGTATCTACAGAGTCTCCTGCCCCCGCGCCTGGCTGTCCTCGCCGGGGCCCCTTGGAGGGGAGCAGGTTGAGTTTTCCTCCCCGCCCTGAACAGGGCTCCTGCAGCCGAAGACCTCCAGAACTAGCCACCACCATGCTGAGACCACTCTCCACACACATGAAGGTACCGGAAGAGGACCAAAGCCACGCGGGTCCCGGGGCCGAGATCTCCAAGCCTACTCAGATCGGGGCTGAGCATCTTCCATCCAGATCCTCCAAATTCCAGTAGGCAGGGGTCACACCCACCAACTGGCCTCCTGGTGCCATGTAATCCCATCAACGGCCAAGACTCAGAGACTATAAAACCCAGCTCCCGGAAGTGCGGCATTCGCAGCCGCGTGACATCTTATCATCTCATTCCTACTTTGGACAACCTGGCAAGCTACCGAATGTAACCTGCCCACACGGCAGAGTCTGGCAAACTCCCCGTGGTGTACCCAATATGCCAAATACCAGTAACAATGAAGGGTCTCATTCTCCTAACTCTGAAAGAGCCTTGAATATGGCACTTTTTAAAATCTCAGGGCTAGGATGAAGGAGACGTTACTGGGGCCTGCTCGAGGCAATCGACAAATAACAGGATGGTTGTGATTGTTGTGATGTATCTAAAATGCAACCAAAATACCTATTCCACAGAGACAACAAGGATTAAGTATCATGAGGTGGAAGGGCCAGAGGAGGCAACTTTAGGGATAGTACAGCAGGCAGAGCATTTTCCCTGCATGCAGTTGACCCGGGTTTGATCCCCAGCTTCCCAGATGGTCCCCCAAGCACTGCCAGTAGTGATTCCTGAATGCAGAGTCAAGAGTAAGCCTAAAGCACTGCCGGGTTGGCCCCCTCAAAAAACAAGTGCTTTTAATTAAAAGAAAGTTTTCTCCTCCAGGAAACAATCACTGACTCCAACCCACCAGTTAGCCTTTTCTTCCAGGATCCAACAAGCCCACGCTTTCAGTATGGTAGTATTACTCTGCTTGTGTCTGCTCTAAACCATCCCATTGAACTTGTGTTGCCTTCAAGGGCAGTAAGTTTTTCTGGTTTATTTTCAATACTGAATGCAGAGCAAGGGATTTAGATGAAGTTGGATGTGGCCTCTGTTAACTTTTCTTCCTCTCTTCTCTCCCTCCAGCTTTTCGCTGTATTAGGCTGTTCCCCTTGCAAAGCTCTGTGGTGATAAGTAGGTGAAATCTCAGTACAGAGTCTCCAGCACTTAACACCTTGAATCAGTTGGGCCTGAGGCAGTAAGGAGAATATTCTGGAGCCTGAAGGAGAGCTGTCACCCAGCCTGACTAGTGACAGGCAGCTGGTGGGGTCCAGCTGGCAGGGGGCTCCTGACGAACCAGGGAAGCAGGCAGCGCTGGGAAAATTGTGCCTGTGACTATGGTAGTCCTCACCAGGCCAGTGCCTGGATCTGGAGGCTCCTGCTGGGAGCTGTCAGCCATGCATACCCTGCAGAGGAGCTTGCTGGGGCCCCTTCTGTCAGTTCCAGAAACAGAAGCAGAAACAGAAGGTCAGCCCTATGAGGTGAGGGTGAAGTTACAGATAAGGAGCCAGAGGCTCAGAGAAGGGTGAAAACTTGCCCAAGGTCACACAGCAAGCCAGGACCAGAGCCAAGTTTCATGCTTACAAAAACAGAGCAGAGAATCTTTAAAATATGCTGGTATTCGAGAAGGATTTCTTTCTTTCTTTCTTTTTGTATTTGATCTTTGTAAAAATGTCTACAATGATCATATATTCTTTAGTAATCAGAAAAATAATAATAATGAGGGGCTAGAGTGATAGCACAGCGGTAGGGCGTTTGCCTTGCACGCAGCCAACATGGCCAACCCAAGTTCGATTCCTCCGCCCCTCTCGGAGAGCCCGGCAAGCTACCGAGAGTATCTCGCCCGCACGGCAGAGCCTGGCAAGCTCCCCGTGATGTATTCGATATGCCAAACACAGCAACAACAAAAGTCTCCAATGGAGACATTACTGGGCCCGCTCGAGCAAATCGATGAACAACGGGAGGACAGTGACAGTGACTTATGGTATTAACTGGGTTTTGTCCTAGGAAACTGTGTCAGAAGCGTCACTGCTTTCTCCCTCTCACCCCACATGGTTCCACTGAGGCAGTGGGAGAATCAGGGCTCAGGGCAGCAACTATCTGGCCTTTCAGATCCAAAATCCTGGTTTTCTCAAGTGATGGGTCCTCACTACTTTCTGAGGTTGTCCCAGCTCCTGGGTAGGCCTCAGATTTTTCATCTGTAAGGAATTTTCAGGAGCCAGAAAGACAGTTCAA